GATATATTTGAAATTTGATTATGATCTAGTTTTGAGAGACGTTTCTTCAAAAGAAAGTTTTGGAAAACACGACTTATTCCGATTTTTGACGTTTTAGTGACGTTTTAAAACGTCACCCGTCCCCAAAGGGTTAAAAAGCGAAACTATAAAACCTTTTTTGGGTGCTCGTTAGGCGTTGCTATATTCAGCTCGACGAGCTCTATCGATTGGCTAACTCAAATTTTAATTTGGGGGTGTTCGTAGGCTGTTCCTAGGTGTTCACGTCTTTTAGTAGTACCCTTCTGCAGTGAATTTGGAGGTGTCTGTCGCAAATCTGATTCACACGGTGTTCAATATTATTTCTTATGTATGAAAATCCACCTCTCGTCTTGTCATATGTCTTATCAATACTAGAAAGAATTTTACCCGTGAAATTGAACATCAGATATTTCTGAGTTTAAAAATCTCTCATATTTTTGGCAAAAACCATTAATTCGGCATACATCTGCCTCAGAAAAACCTCGACAATATACTTTTTAACTAATATATCTATTTTGGATCAACCTGTTTTACGTTCTCTGATTCTCGTTCACGATTTTAAAAACTGTGATTGAAACGGTCTTTCTTCTATTCTTCATAACATAAGTGAAGAGTTTTTTTGTAATCGCGATTGTGATCTGATAGCAGATACGTGGTAAAACATGTTACTTCATTTCTCCATATTTATGCGCCATTTAAAATTGTTAGAATTGAGAAACATAATAAATAAAAACCGTTTAGAACTCTACGATATTTAAAACGTAGGCGAAACGACGTTTTTCAACGGTTAAGGCTAGTGTGTTCCCTAATGAATGCACTTGATGTAAGTACTTGGTTGCTTACCGAGTACTTCGGAAGTACTTGACAAATTTCCTCAATTAGTAAGCACTTGAACAAGAACCTAGCAAGTGTTTTGACCTCCTAAGTTCTTGTCTAGGTACCTCTAAATATTGTCACTTGATTCGCCTCAGCCAAGTGCTTGGACAAGTCAATCACATTTTGTTTTGCATTGACCAGTCGTATATGAACATCACTATATAGTATAAACTTAGGAAATAAGTTTAAATATTTCTACTGGATTAAACAAAGTTGATAGCCATGCATGTATCTGCTCCACAAAAGTAGAGTATGACTGCAGAAAGATAAATTGAACAAGTACTTGGCTGAAGTTTTTCAAGTAAATTTGCTTTCAAGGAGCTACGTGCTGGGACAAGTACTTGACAAGTAGATTTGCTTGGAAAAGTCCACAAGTACTGTCCTCATTACTTAACCCAGGCACTTACGCAAGTACTTGGCTCAAGTACATTCACTTGGGTATACCAACAGAAGCAAAGTTAGTAAAATTTAAAACGCTTAACCGTAGGGATATCGGAGTTTCATTAAAAAAACTTTCATTAAAAGGAAGTTCATTAAAATTTTAACGAAACTCCTTGTGTGTTCGGTGACTCTGAATTTTCACTAAAATTTTTAATGAAATTCTTGTGCCATCAAAAAGTTTTAATGAAACTCTTGTGGCATCAAAATCATTTTAATGGAACTCCTGTTAAAAGTTTTTCAATGAAGGTACTGGGACTTTCATTTAGAAAAGAAAACGCTTTAATGAAAAGTTTTTTAATGAAAGTCACCCAATCCTTACCGTAGAGTCATTAAAGAGATTTTGAAAAGACAAAATATACAGTATTTTACCTAGTTGTGTAGCTGAAATCTCCTCTCCTTTGTTTTTTGCTGCACTAAACAACTATATATTTAAACACAAAATAAAAAATAATAATTTTTCTCTGTGATTCTTATGGTCGCGTCCCTTTTCGTCCTTGCTTTTTCTTACGGACGTTCGACAGAGTAGTCCGTTCCGAGTTCCCGTTTTTTTGAAAAAGTTCGGATGTTCGGAATGAAAAGTCCGCAAGATCGGAATGAAAATAGAGCGGATGCTCGGAACGATAACCAAAAAATATCCTGATGTTGGGAATGAAAGTCGTCTGGGTGTACGGAACGGCATGAGCCAAGGTGTTTTTAGTGTTTTTGTATACAAAAATATCTAGATGTTCGTAACAATCCCTCACGTTTTGTTACGAACATCCAATCTTTTTCTGTTACGAACATCCATACTTTTCATCTCGAGCATCCGCACTTTTCACTCCGAACATCCAGGCGACTTTCATTCCGAACATCCGGAAAACGATTTTATGCTATATAGGCCCGATTCCGAGCATCCTGTCACTTAGTCGGATATCGTGAAGACCAGGGACGAAAAAGGACTTACTTATAGAAAGGACATTCTTATTTGTTGTCTAGACATATGTTTTGTTACATTGTTCATTTCTTCTAGTTCTTTTTCTCTTTTCAACTTCTTACTCTCTTCAGATGCTTACTCTGTTTTCAGTACAGCGTTTTACAGGTTGATCTTTACAGGTTGATCTTTAGCCTCCCTTTGCTACGTCCTTCCTACGTTTACTAAACAAATAAATAACTAAATGGCTATTTGTGAGCGTGATAAGAGACACTTTCAAATGTGAAACTTCTCTATAAACTATTCTTCTCTACTAATTTTTTTCTAGTACCTCCTTCTGCTTCATCCGATATTATGTTGAGCGAAGTAATCCTTATATTTCTTGTATTAACAATATGGTTATCAGCTATTGGCTTTTGTTTGCACCAGTATAAAACATTGAGACGATTAGAAACACAAGTACACTATTGCGTTAGTCGAAAAGATCCACAAAATATTGGTAATATTAAAATTGTAGCACGTGAACAAGATTCTATTATATATAAGAAAAAACGTTATTCAACTACCTCAGATACAAAAATAAATCGTGATAAATCCCATTATATCCCAACAACAACAACAACGGATAAGCATTTTATTATACAAAATGAATCGAATGGTATAAGATTGTCATCGACAGCAATGTTTGTGTTACCTACTCAACATGAAGATATTAATGAATCAGAAAATGTTAACGAAAAATTCGATGATGACATTACTTCATCATTGACCAGTAGTGCAAGATATTTATTACCGAACAGAAAAGGTAATCATAAGATATTTTTCATTGTGTCATACATTCTCTAAGATACAAAGAATAATTAGTAATCAAAGAAAAAAGTTAGGTGTAGCTTCTTTTTTGTGCTACAAATCTATACTTATTGATCTGATCGAATGATTTATTTATATAACACTTGCGGTATTATTTTCATTGTCATCATCTATTTGAGTCTGACAGCAGGCGAATTTTTATTACTTGTGTAACTATATTTATCTGTAGATTGAAGGATAACGAAAAGCCTTAAATTGTATTTCAAAAAGTTCTTCTATTCAGAAGATTTCTATACCAGTCTCATCTAAATAGTCAGATGTATCGGAGAGCTACACTAGGATTTAATGTATGGTGCAATCATTCACAGTTGATCCATTTGTAATATTTTCATTTAGTACACAGTCTATCAAATGCGTCAGCATTGACTGTCCCAGTGCCATTATCGACACCAAGCACTTTAGATTCATCTTGGAATAGTCATTTTTATGAAACACGTCACTCAACTCAGCATCTTTGTGTACCCAGTTTAAGATTAAATCGCTTATCCGACGGGAACATTTCATTACCTGTTCCATCGATGAGAAACAAAGATCAGCAACAACACGATAATCCACCAACGAACGAACAATTACTCAATCCGTGTCTTATATCAAACACTGTTCGACGTAGTTTACTAGCACTGCATCGTGAATCTCAGGAAAATATGATACTACGGCATAAAGAAAAAACTCAAAGTGAAAGTGACGTTCACGGAAAATTTATACCATGGAAAATAAAAATGAAATTTAAATTGAAACGTTCAGCTCAAAACAAACAACATACAAAAAACATACCGACTAATGATAATTCATTCGATTCACATACACAACATCGTCTGTCAACTGCTCCATCACCTCCGGTGAGTTTATCAAATCCCACAACGGTACAACCATCAAAAACTAAGAGACGAACTCTAAAGCATTATCCAAAATATTCGACACAAAGTCACGAAAGTCCCGACAGTAGTATGGATAAACCGATGTCCGAACAACCAGCAAGTATCATGATGCTAAACGAATATATCGGATCGACAACGATGACTGTAAATGATCAACTTGCACAAGACAACTGTGATCGAAAGAAAACTCAAAATATGCCTCGTTAAATATATCATTCGAAAAGTGAAGAGAAATCTGATATGATAATGGGAAATATGAAATGCAAGGTAGAGGCCAACAGAAGAAATAGAGAAATACACCAATACACTATTCGACAGAACTGGGCGAGAAGAATGGCGCTATCATTTTTACTCTTATTTTCAATGGATTATTTTGTATTTTGAAACATATTTACACATTTTTCCATACCGGTGATTATATATTTTTCTTTACAATGATAAAATTTTATGTTTTATCCTCAGAAAATATATCAATGAACTCCGCCGTAAAACTTTACTAATCTGACAAGTTCAGATTCTTATAGCATGCTTGTAAAGTCTAGAGCTTGAACAACAATAGTCTGGCATTTTGTTCAGAAAAAAATACCGTTCCTTTCTTTTCAGATATAATGATATAAGACAGTCACACGTGATCAAAACGTTTTTTCGAAAACATCTTTTGTTCAACAATTCAGCACATCCTCTTCTACACATTAATAGTAATTAGTGATCACTTTTGTTAAAAATCAAAGCAAAAACTGAGATATAACAGAAATAGTCATATGTATTGAAGTTCAAATATTTCCAAAAATAAACACATACATTTTCCATCATTTATTTTCAAATTATTCTCTAATTATGACTTAAAGTTACATTAGAGAAAAATAATATCTTCCAAGATCAACTGTGTTCATTGAATATGGAACTCCTAGAAATTCAGAAAATAAATGCGAAATGATTAAAATTTTAGAAATCACCGATGAAATCACAACTAAAAGAAGTAGTTAGAAGATCAATTTTTTTTAAACACTTAATCCTGTTTCTTCCTATTACTTTAAAGTCATTTAAGCTAGTTATTACGAAATTACCATTTTTTTAAGTCACTGTACACCATAACCAAAAATGGTTTATTTCAACACCGTCAATAAATACGGATTATTACTTGGCTTCTAAACTTTTCTTTCCAAACGCAAACACAGTCTTCAAGCTCAACGTGGTGTGTAATCTATGTTTCAGTTTTTTCTGAGACTCTCATAAGCCATCTCGTATTAGTCTGGTCTTCGAGAAATCAGGTGTTCCACCGAGACCGTAATCGATCAAGACAGCGAATGGCTCTTATTTCACGTTGGATACTCGTGTTAGCTACCTAGGATCCATTACGCATAAGCCACGACAAGCCAAGTTCAATGACTATTTCAGATTTCTTTCTAAGTAGCCTCATCTTGTAGAGCATGGTCGAAAACCTATAAATTCAAATTTGTAGGCTTCCTGAACTTTTCGTTCTGTAGATATGAAATTTTTTCGACTAGA